TCTCTTGTCATAGCCATTAAACATCTTTTCTAACATCATGGAAGTGCGAGCTCCCAACGTTTTGTTTGTGACATCACTGAAAAGCAACAGGGTCGTTGTTACAGCATGTTGGCCGAGCTAGTTGAAATTGATACAAATTGGTGAAATCATTCAATCTTACTGTTCTACGTTAGTTGTTAAGTTGGAATGACCATAACATATGCATATTCCATCAAAGATGACAGAACTTAAAACTGGGCAAAAACATGTTAGCTGACGCAAAGCGCAGCAAAAAACGATCGAGTAATTGCACGATAGCGGGTGTCAGTAAAACGCGGAGTCGGGGCCGGAGCTGGATCGGGGTCTATCTTTTTTAAAAAAAGGATGCTGTTTTAGGGTTAGGGTTAACGTTAGTTAGGGTTAGTGTCAACACTAACCCTAACCCTAACTCTAACACAGCGTAGACCCCGACCCCGCGTTTTACTAACACTTCAGGATAGCATCTCGGTGTTTCTGCTCTCTCTCAACTGTGCCTGCACTGCAGTATGTAAAATGCAGCATGGATACTATGACATTTTGTCCGCCATGAAATTCAATTTGGAAAGGGCAAAAATAGAGTCTGTATTTATTAGAATTTATGCCTCATTAAACTCTTAGGCATTCTCCTGGAAAGCTGTGCATGGGCAAATTTCCAGCCTGGCTTTCAAGGAGGAGAAATGAGTGTAATGGAATTACACTGCGTTACCTTAAGTTTTAAGCTAGTATTCCAACGGCTTAAGTACGCATTATAGCCCTTAACCGGTACTGTATCATTTTTACCTTGGCAGCGGCTGTTAAGTAAGCTGAGCATTAAACAGTAAATTAAACTTTTACCTACCTGTTTGAATTCCCTTCTGCTAATAATAAAAGGACCACTTCGACAAAATACAGCCACAAGAGCTTACTAAAGCCAAGCATCTATCCAACAAAAGAAGTTGAAAACTGTGAGTCTAAAAGCATCAGAATAGCCCGAATGTCTTTTGGCTGCTGTAGAGGGGATATGGAAAACCAAAAGAATAGTGAAAATGTATGTTATAGAACTACAGGTGGGAGAAAGGAGCTCAAAGTTACTTTTAGTAGATATTTAAGACCGTCATTTAAGGTTGACAAATAAGCTTCTTTTACGATTTACTTAGAGGAAAAACATGTCCTCTTTCTCTGTTTAAATTGATTGCGCGCCAGCAGATGTGAACACACAAGCTGTTGAAAATTTATAAGCGTTGCTTGACCGTGTTCGTATGGGTGACAAAATTTTAAATAGAAGAATCCCAAGCTGAACAAACATCAGCTAATTACAGAAGTTATTGAAACACAATCAAATGATAAGTTTAAGGTGTATTGAAGAAAATACCAGTTGAATAATAAAGTTCTGAAACTTGCCTTATATGATAACTTCGTATTACTTTGATTTTATTTTTCTCCCACCGGTATGTTAACACGTAGCAAATGAACAGGAGAAACAAAAAACCTGGACTTGTCACATTGTACTATAGGACTGGCATATAATAAATACCCTAGCACGTTGAGCATTCAAGATCATGACAACCTTCCGGCTATTCTTGAATATAACTAATTTACCGCGTATCGCGTAGGCTACCTTTATTTTTCTCAATCTATTTTAATGCTACAAAATACACATTTACTAAAACGACAAAAAAGAAAATGGCATGTATACAAGAAAAAATAAGTTAAATGTTTACATTTTGCTCATAAAATAAGCAACATGGTAACTAAAAAGTTAAAGTCCGAAGTTTGACCACTATTTTAACAAAACTGGAACGATTGTTGATAATTATAGTATATATTTAGCTACGTCAACATTTTAATTCATAAGGCTCAAAAATGTCATAATCTTTTAAGCTGATATAGAAGAACATATTTTCCATCAAAATTAAATAGTTGAGGGTTAAACTTGACAGCGCGTTCCTAAATCGCCAGAGATATTTTTCTCTGTGCCGAGCAGTACTCGCCCTCCGGTTTTGTTTTTCGTTCTTTTAAACGTTTTTTGCCGGCATTGTTTGTTTTTAAACTTATCATTTTAGAGAGGCATCCAGGAACTAAGTTGTGGAGAAAAAGTAATACCCAGAATTTGGCTTTCCAAAATCAGATTTGATTCAAATTTAACGCTAAAACGGCTTGTATTTAATACCTTAATCCCGCAATGAAGAACTTGGTACTTCAGCACTCTGCAGCCTGAGATATTGTGAGCATACGCTTTATGTACTTGGCGGAGTCACTACAAACGCCCCACTGAAAAGTTAGTAAGTTTTGACAATTGATCAATATGAATAACACTAAAGAAGAAATTATTTCTTGATACAGAAAACACAAAATCAATCATTCCGTTCAAATCTTCTTACTATGCCTATCTGTGACAGCGTTTCGATTTACTGTGTAATTTAAACGTTTTACTGTTATTAGCAGTTTAATCTTGCAAACAGTTCCTTGTGGCTAAATTTGGCTAAAGCGGTTGACATAACGCCATTACATTATGTGTCTTGACAGCAAATTGGAACAGCTGTCAAAGATTTCAGGTGAAAATATTGCCTAGAATTAATCGTCAATGTCGTAGTGTGCTGTGTTTTCAACAATAAGCTGCAGGACACGGGACATGATTACTACAAATACATCACTATTATCAGTGCAGGGATGAGTAACATAGGTTTAACCTCATAGTTCAGAAATAATCATTGACGCATTTTAGAGAGTTAGATTGACGTTTGCGGCAAACGGTACCCTGCGAGCAGTGGTTTCTCCAGGCCGAACACTACGCTACGGAGGGTAGCGTCCGGCCTGGAGAAACCACTGCTCGCAGGGTAGGCAAACGGCAAACGTCAGATTCAAGTTGAGAATTTCTCAAAACAAAAAACGTGCAGCTAAAAACAGTCCAAATCAAGTTTTAAGGAAAACACTAACCTGAAACTTCAAATTTTGGGGTAGAAGTAATGAACAGTAAAGCACAAGTTAAGGGAAAACTTGGTGACGTGCTGCAAATTCACGTTTGCTGTTTGCTGTTTGCCGCTTGGCGTTTGGCGTTGGCCGTAAACGTAACTCTAGATCTCTTTATTGGCGGAAATCCAGATTTCTTTGTTCGCACTAAAACGAAAGTGTGACCATGCCAGAAGCCATCAAACTGATTCTGGAACTATTTGAAGAACTTTTTTTTGCTGCATGTTTGCAAATACCAATGGCTATTTGGATATATTTACTAGGTCGTCAATCTGCCAATCGCAAATACCACAAGTTTTCTCCAAAGGAAATTGAAATAACGTAAGTATGCAGTTCAGTAGCTCTTCGAATTAACCATATGACTATTTGCAAGGCGGAACAGGACGTTTAGGAAATAAATCGGCTCGATATCGAAAATATACTTGTGATGGGGAAAAACACTTGTAATGATAAATTATTTAAAATATTCATAAAAACTAAATAAAAGTCGAAAAGTCGTACCTTGAAAAATGACCCGCTTCCGCTAGAAAAAAAAAACACTACTCGATAGAACTTAAACGCCAACTAAACTAGTTTAGAATATAATCATTTACCTTGTTTCGTTCTGTTTGGGGCCCACTGTTGCACGCAAATATGGAAAATACGTGACAAGCTGTGAGTAGGCGGGGAAAACATATTATCGTGTCTACCATGCTACGGGGTTTTAGTTTGCGATTGACTTCTTAAAGCAAGCGCGCCTCCTTATTGTATTTGATAACTGAAAAGGCTTGACTTTTAAAAATGACCAACGTTCCTCCAGAGCTATTTAGAGATATTGCTACTACACTGTCATTATTTTGTGGAAGCTTAACTTTTTGCGATTGCATCGCTTACATTGCACCTGGCTAGATATTGTAATTTCTCCTCAATTAAACACAGGTAAAGACGGAATCCACCAGGAAATTGAGTAATTTTAATTTTCAGTGGACAAAAATCTCCTACCAGAAAAATTTGAAGCATATTGTATTCTTTCTTACATTTCTCAAGGGCTTAAAAAGATGTAATAAATCATCTGTAGTAACACCAAAAAAAATTCTTATGGGAGCCAGAGAAAATGAATGTCAAATTTCATAAAATTACATCTTACACATAAAATGTTCAGAATTTTACACCTGTGTAATCAATTAATGACTTCAATTAATAACTTGTTTTAGTATATACTAAAACAGTGGATAGTGTTTTTCGCGTGCTCTGATTGGCTACTCAATCAGTGAATATCCTGCACTATTCACTGATTCACCTCCAGTTTCTCCGAGCGAGTGACGCCAAACTCACGTAAGTTGCGAGCAAAGTGCCTTCCCAGTTTGCTTCCGTAATAAACAAACAAAGAAATTTCACAACTAATCAAGCAAGCTGTTCCCGAAATACACGAAGAAGGTAACGAAGTTTTTGTTTACAAATGCAAATTAAGTCTTGCGTTACTTATTTAATTGACTTGTTCATAGAGCCTAAACAAACTTAAAACTAAATTTAATAATTCTTTTTTACAGAATGATTTTAAATACAAAAAGAATTCCCAACTCCTTTTGAAGAAATTTCCCCGCAAGAGCTAGACAGTTGCCTTCAGAAGTTTTGTTTGTCTTTAAGAAAAAGCGACGACCGCGGCCGTTCAGTCATTGCGCGCCAAAATTGTAATCGTTTACTCTTTTCGAATAGTGATGTCGGTTCTTTTACGTCCCACAAGAACAAATCAGTGAAAGTGCTGTGAGGCGGGACCTACGGTTTTTTGTCCTTTTCTGAGAAGAATAGAAAGTCTAACCATTTGCAGTATCATTAAAAAGGCAGCGCTTTCTTCTCACTTAATTAAAAACCCTGAGTGTTGGTCCGGCCGGGGTTTGATCCCGGGACCTCCCGCTCAGCAGACCGGCGCTCTCCCAGAGCTAACCAGGCAGGCGGTGCCTGGTTGAACACTTTGAATGTTAAGGATCATTTGTAGGTCACGTGACTAATATTTCAACAATTAATATTTCACATCTTGTTAAGGCCACCGAGTTAAAACTGTTTGCCAAGTTTCATGACGACTGATTAAAACAATCCGTTTCAAATGCCACTTGATCAAATTATGCAAATTATGAGGTGACCCATGCCCCATGCTTTAACATGCCTGAGCTCCATTAAGAATACTTAATGATATTTTTGGCTATCTCAGGTAACCCCTATTCTAAGTTAATTCTCAAATAATTTGTCTGTTGTTGCTTTTAATCTTGTGCGTCACTTTTAAAAAAAAAATGATACTTTGGAGGGGCGTGATCATCACAAAAGATGTTGTCGAAGTTTGATGAACGTGAGTAGGAGTGCGTCATTCTTTTCTTTTAAGAAAATTTTCTACCAAGCGTGCATGCCTATAATCAGAAACAAATGAACACAAAATAACAATGGAATCATCAATTAACTCTAAAGAGTGTTTTTCAGTTCCCGGCATATCTAGTGTGCAGGTTAAAAGTTAACATAATTATGAAGATAAATGCTCATAAGTCGTCTGCATGGCTTTGACGAGATTAGCGCTCGTCTTTTACGCTCTTCTGCTGCTGCAATCTGTTTCCAGTGAAAAGTTCCCCTCGCGCTGGAAAACTGCCAAAGTCACACCTTTATTTAAGAATGGATTGGAGTGTGACCGTTGTAACTTTTTGTCAAAGATAATTAGCATAGGTTTTTAACCTAAGCTAGGAGGCTTCTTTAGACACAGAATAAAGTTTCATCATCATCATCATCAATCGAGCGTCACTTTTATGACTCGTTGTACGATTTCCTTAATGAGAACAATCTAATATACTCTAGACCGTCAGGATTCCGAAGAAAGCACAGTACCGAGACACAGCTGGAGACTGCTTTTATCAAGATAATTGATGGACTATTCTTTAACCTAGACAAAGACAGGGTGTCAGGCATGGTTCTAGTGGATTATCGAAAGGCGTTCGACATGGTTGATCACGAACTTTTGTTGAGAAAATTAAAGGCGTATGGCGTTGCTATGCAGCAGAAAACAAGTGGTTGATCATGTACGAGGAAAGGAGTCGGGTGAGGTGATGTTAAGGCATGGGGTCCCGCAAGGCAGTACTATTGGACCGCTGTTCTTTATCCTGTTCCGCATTAACGATTTGCCCCTACATATTAGTGCAGATGTAGATCTTTACGCAGATGATACGACTGTGACGGCTGCGGTAGATGTGAAAAACTTGGCCCATCTAGACCTGTCACTCAATAAATCTGTCAAAGAAATTCAAGCCTGGGCCAGCGCTAACAAACTGACTATAAACGAGGACAAAACTAAGGTTCTCACGATTACTAGAAAGAGGCTTAACTCAAAACAGAATTGTAAGCTTTCTGTTAGGACTGACAGCGATAATACCCTATGTAATGCAGAAAGTGCAGCCTTGTTAGGTTTAGAAACTGATAGCAAGTTATCGTTCAATGCACATGTTGATAAAATATGCAAAAAATCTCGCTTCACGAAATGCGTTGCTGCGAAAAATAAGCGCCTTCCTACCGCTTAGTCAGCGTGTTAAATACTATAATGCGGTGATCCGTCCCGTTATAAGCTATGTTAGCGTCATCTGGTCTTCATGCGACAAAGAGCAGCTCTATCGCNGAGACTGCTTTTATCAAGATAATTGATGGACTATTCTTTAACCTAGACAAAGACAGGGTGTCAGGCATGGTTCTAGTGGATTATCGAAAGGCGTTCGACATGGTTGATCACGAACTTTTGTTGAGAAAATTAAAGGCGTATGGCGTTGCTATGCAGCAGAAAACAAGTGGTTGATCATGTACGAGGAAAGGAGTCGGGTGAGGTGATGTTAAGGCATGGGGTCCCGCAAGGCAGTACTATTGGACCGCTGTTCTTTATCCTGTTCCGCATTAACGATTTGCCCCTACATATTAGTGCAGATGTAGATCTTTACGCAGATGATACGACTGTGACGGCTGCGGTAGATGTGAAAAACTTGGCCCATCTAGACCTGTCACTCAATAAATCTGTCAAAGAAATTCAAGCCTGGGCCAGCGCTAACAAACTGACTATAAACGAGGACAAAACTAAGGTTCTCACGATTACTAGAAAGAGGCTTAACTCAAAACAGAATTGTAAGCTTTCTGTTAGGACTGACAGCGATAATACCCTATGTAATGCAGAAAGTGCAGCCTTGTTAGGTTTAGAAACTGATAGCAAGTTATCGTTCAATGCACATGTTGATAAAATATGCAAAAAATCTCGCTTCACGAAATGCGTTGCTGCGAAAAATAAGCGCCTTCCTACCGCTTAGTCAGCGTGTTAAATACTATAATGCGGTGATCCGTCCCGTTATAAGCTATGTTAGCGTCATCTGGTCTTCATGCGACAAAGAGCAGCTCTATCGCGTCCTTAAATTGCAAAAGCGCGCGTCAAGAGTCATTCTTTATGCTGATCGCCAGGCGTCTTCTGTTGCCCTCTTTAACAAACAAGCTCTCTTGGATCCCGTTTTATGAACAATAAAGGATTGACAAGTGCTCTATTATTTATAAGCGTATATTGTATTAATGAGACTTTCATACCTATTTACTTAAATGATCACATTATTATAAATAACAGTCGTTACGCGCGCAATAGTCAGGGGCAACCAACGAGAATATAGTTCAAAACCACTTAAACATAGCATTGTTAAACGTATTTTAGTATTTAAACAGTAGATATAGGCATATTTTTATCCCCTAAAAAATTTTTCATCTCTTCGGATTTCCTAGCTGAAAGTCTAGTGATCCGAAAATTATAGGGGTCAAAACTTACCTTTTCGAAAATTTCAGCCGGATAAAAGGCTCCCGAAAATTCCAGGTGACTCTCTTAGGGCAAAAATCCTTTAAAAATGGGCAATTATACCATTTTTTAAATGTTCAAAAATCCTAGGAGAAGAAGGCAAGCAAGAGATTTTATGACAAATGTTCCGAAAATTCTAGATCTCAAATCGTCGTCCGAACAGATATTTTCCGAAAATTGACGTTGGGTGCCCCTGAATAGTCGTTATGCCAATATAAATATTGTATGTCCCAAGTAGCGCAGAGAAACCGAGGGCGGACGAACTTTTTCGGTATCTGCGGCGAAACTATATGGAACAGTGTCCCGTTAGATATACACAAGGCAGACACGCTACCTTGTTTTAAGAACAACATGATTAGCAGAGTTTTTAAGGGTCAGCAACTATTGCATCATTTTAATATCTAGGTTGTATTTTAATCAGTATATTTTTAATTGTAAATAGTAGTGTCTCTCTCTTTTCTTTTTAACATCCATTCTATAATCTTTTTATAACTAGACATTCTAAATAGTTTTTATTAGTATAGATATTATACATTTGTAAGATTGTGTTTTGAGGGCCACAAGTTTACTAGCCTTGGGCTATTTAGTGTTACCCTCGTTAAATAAAGGCAATATTTATTTATTTATTTATTTATAAACATGCGACGTCTGTGCGGACAACTAATGATATTTAGTGACCACTCGACAGACCACTCGGTTGACAACACGACGGACAGTGTACTGAACACTGTTGGGCGTTTACACAGAAAAAAGGTAAGAAAGAAAATTAAACAACTTTTAAATTTCCAGATAAAATATAAATTTGTGAAGGTATGAAAAAGGTTCTTCTTAATATTTCTTTAAATAGGAATGCTTTCGACAACATCAAAGCTGTCGTTAAATGATCTCTGAAAAGACTACGAGAAAATAAGGTTTATATTGATCATAGGCATGCAAGTAATTGTACAATTTGATATACTTTTAGCATTAAACACTGTAGATGAAAGTCAAATGAGATAACCGTTAATTCAGTGTTTTTTTGCAAGGGAGTATAATCCATTAAAACACAAAACCTCGCTTTCCGAATAGCTGGATCATTGTACTGCAATTTCGGCGAGGGCGAGTTAATGTAGAGACATTCTTTTTTTTAAATTTTTTTTCTATTGCCCATGGAAGGGTCTTTTTCTAAAAGATCTCTCAGTCGCTTGTACCAAACGTAATTCCATTCTTGCATCTCGTCCGCTCTTAGCCAGAATGTGGTCGCACTGGGGCATTATATACGCAATCTGAGTGACCGTGGCTCCGCTTGTTTACCCCGTTGTTTCGCCATTTGCTTTGTGCTAGTATGTAATTTTCACCAGTTTGATGAAATCAAGCCTGTGATCTGGCCAATCTGTTGCGTACAAGTTCTTCACGCTACGTTCTTTTGTATTTCCTTTCGGACTAGAGCAAAATCGGTACCTCTTGCATTGGTTATGTCGACGGCTTTCGAATTATTTCTGTATTAGTGTACTGAGCGATATATATTGGACTAGGCTTTCACAAGAGCCCATATGGGCTCCTGGCTTTCAGGAAATTCAGTTCCGGTACGGAAAAACGTAAGATAGCCTTTTTCTAATGCATGTTGCAGCTAGTTATTAAGGTATTATTTGTCTCTATGATATGCTGCTGGTAAAGTATTCAAACAAAAAGTCAAAAGTTAAAAGTTCAAAAAGAACAAACTTAATCAACTTTCACTTAAAGTTCTTCAAAAGCACTTAACGGGATAAATGAGCAAACTAAGTTAGCCGCTCGCATGCTTAAGATTTATCACTAAGGAGCATAGATTATGTATAAGTTAAAGTTACGTAAGCAAGCTTAGTGAGGGTTAATACAACTTTGATTATCTTTTGATACAATTATATTATTAATGAATCACATTCGGTTAAGTTTCATTTTTAAACTATATTCATTTCGATATCCTATTCAATGTTCACACGCACATTTCTAATACTCAACGTGAACACGCTTCAATCACTCCGTATCGTATATATTTGTCTAGCTATACACAATTCTAAGGTAGAAGAAACTAAAGCATATTAAGAAAATTTAGTCAGAGTATAGCCCGCGGCAGTTACGAGCCTATCAAGTTATGAAGCTAAATATAAAGATAATAAACTAAAATTCCATTTAAGGAATGAAGAAACCATTTTGTAACACAAAACGGACAAAAGATCTCTTCTCCATCGGTTTCTCTTTTTTATAAGAGCTACGAATTTTGATAAACATCCATAATAACTGAACATTCCGACCGACCAACCAACCAAGTTTAACCACAAATATCAACCCCTGACCTGTTTCTGCGTCATCCACTCAATTTCGTAAAGTGATTCAAACCAGAAACTAAACAACAACAAATTATTTTCATGAAGTAATGAAAAATAAATAACACCACATGAAAGTACAGCCTAAGAGTTTTCATTTGAATAGTCACACCAAAGGAATTTGTTCACAAACTCAAGATTCTGAACTCTGAAGTCTGAGCTATATCGCATGTCCGCAGCTCCACCCCTTTTGAGTTGCATTTCTCTATTAAAAAAAGAAAAGCGGGAAGAGAAGCAGATCATGATTATACTTATTTGCATAATAAGAAGCTAAGAGAAGCGGTCCAATTTTACATTAGCCTGGTTTTTCTTTATACGCTCTTATGTGCATTATTTGTTTTGTTCCAATGATGACACTTTGTTGCCTACAAGATGATTTATTGACCATTTGTGCTCTCTAAGACCTCTAAAAGCTGTTGATTTGTTCTTTAATGCTTGCGGTCATAGAAACAAGCGATTACATAATTGCTGAAGCATTTTTAACCCTTCATTTAGCACGTGACTTTACTGTCCACCGTTTCTTTAGTACTCATTCATGGCACCATTTCCTGGCTCTCAAATTCAACCTTGAATGTAAGACCCTCAAGAATGGAATGGACTATTGACTCAGAGGCCATGAGGGCGAGAAGAATAATTGTTTTAGTAAAATCCAACTAGTTGGTCAAAAATATCCAGAATGAAAAAAAAAATTAGCTAGGTTAAAGCTAGACTTTAATCCTTTTTTGCCGCCAAAAAGCGCGCGCTTTTCGCTACCAGTAGGCTATAACACTGATAACCTAGTAGTAGCTCAACCAATCAAAACGCAGCATTGATAATAGACCACTAGTTGGATTTTACTAAATCTATATATAGACTGGTTGCTGGTTGAAATGTAGCTGCCTGGGCCAACGAAATGTCTATCCAAACGGATCAAAAAAGATTCACAGTCCGAATTTGGTGTACGAGTGATAAAAAAGTTAAAAAAGACCAAAAGTGGACAACGGTTGGATGATAAAAAGAGATAAAAAATAAAATTTACTAAAATGTTTCGGGTCATAAGACCTTCATCAGTTATAAATCATACAGCAATTACTAAATTAACACTAAATATACAAAGGTTACATAACAGACAGAAAACAAAGGATAATAGTGAACAAAGGGTACGTAGCGACAGTCTAAAGATACTATTGAATGAAGGTTACGTAACATATCTTAAAGTTTAAATCAAAAGATACTAATGAACTAAGAGCAAACAATGACATGATAAAGCTGCCAAAGCGCATTAGGTTCCCAATTCATGGCCCTGAATATTCATACAGGTAAACACTCAAACACAATCCTGAAGCAGAGCCTTGAAACTAGAAGTAATAAAATCCCCACCAAAGGTCTTTGAGCAGCAAAACTAGCACAACAAAAGGGCCCCTAAGTGCTCCGGCAGTGTATAGTGTATAGTTATGTACAGTGAATGCAATTTTTTTAGTGAAATTCTTGTCGTTTATTTAATACGAAAGGCGCAAGACAAAATAATTGCGCGCTCCAGTATGCTTCTTTGGTGATAAGTAGTTTGTCTGTGTCATCATTTGAGCTAATACGGATTTGGTCTATGCATTGAAAAGTAAAGTCAGAGAAAGTGTGTGCTGTTTTATTAAAGTGTATAGCAACTTCGCAAGTTTTCTTGTTGGTTTTCATGGATGATTTGTGGTTCCTGAACCTATCTTTGAATTCAGTAGTAGTAGAGCCGACATACAGGAGACAGTATTATATGGAGTGGACTAAATAAACCACATTAGTGAATTACATGACAGCCGCTGTTGTGTGAAGACGGTTTTGCCAGTTTTTTTCCATTTCCCGTGGAGGGGTCTTTTTGTAAGAGATCTCTCAGTCGCTTGTACCAAACGTAATCCCATTATCGCATCTCGTTCGCTCTTAGCTTGAGTGTGGTCGTACTGGGGCATTACGTAATCTTAGTCACCGTAGCTCCGCTTGTTTACCCTGTTGTTTCGCCATTTCCTTTGTGCTAGTATGTAATTTTCTCCAGTTTGATGAAATCAAGCCTGTGATCTGGCCAATCTGTTGCGTGCAAGTTCTTCCCACTACATTCTTCTGTATTTCCTTTCGGACTAGAGCAAAATCGGTACCTCTTGCATTGGTTATGTCGACGGCTTTCGAATTATTTC